TAACATGTATACATTTACGTTGAGCAATTTAATGCTTTGTTAACAATTTAAAATCCTTTACACATATTCATTGCTACCCTTGTTACATAAAGTGATAAACAGCTAAATTAGAAGTTTATTTCCATTTTAGAAATATAAAATATCTAATAAAATCATCAAATACCTGAATGAACTAAGACAGGGAAGCATGAGTAACGCCCTTTCATCCTGAAAATGATAGATTTACATAACAAAACTTGACAAATTAGAGATATCATCTATATCAGCATAGCTTCTTTTAGTGTCACACTAAAACCATTGTTAATATTGCATAAAAATACAGATGAATATATTTCCTGTAAGTATGATTCAATATCATATCAAAGCAATCATTTTTAACACATCCGAACCCTTATAAACCAAAAAAGCTAGTTTAAATCTAAGTGCAATGAAAGTATATGAGCATCTGTGAAATATTACCTGTTGAATTTCATCCCTCAACCATGTCCTATTTAACCACTGTTCTTTTGATTTGCTGAGAGCCATACAATTCTCACTAATGCTTCGAACTATACAGGACACCTCACTGCAACCTTCACAAAACAATATCTGCAATATCAATCATACTTCATATTATATGTTTTTAAATGATTGCATCTTATTACCAGTGTACAAATGTATATGACTTATTATACCATTTCTACTGCAGAAGGTATAAATTGTACAATTATCTATATGTTTCCTGTAGCTTTTTACAGGGTCCTCACAAGGATTTTTAAAAAAGGAGTCCTGGGACTCCCAACCCAAAAAAGTTGGAGTCCCACAGCAGATCGAAAAAATCCTAAGCCATCTTTTCTGCATTTATGTAGTTGATGAATTAGTGGGGTAGGGTCAGAATTTGAACAAAGAAAAAGCCTATTTAACAATGGTAATATGTCCCAACTATTTACAAAATTATTGTTTGAATTTTGGAAAAGAATAATTCCAAAATACCTGTATGAAAGAAATCTGTTTATATATCTCCTTAAGAACAAAATTAATGGCCTTGGGCAATTTCATTGTAAATGGTTAAAATCTTAAGAGCAAAAACTATTTTGTTTGAAATTTTTGTTTTAAAACCCTATAATTTTATTGTGTAAAATAACAGGACTTTATTTGCCATCCAGTTTAATCACCATATGATGACTATAAGGAAACAACATATTTTACTGCTTATAGATTTAATAAAAATATTTCATTATATATAGCTTTATACACTATAACAGACCACTAAATAATATATAATAATATTTTTTATAGTAACCATCCAGCTAGCTTTGGACTTGGGTGACCTGGATGGTGTAGATCATTTTTATTGTGACTGATCATATATTTTTTTTCTACATTTATTCATACTGTCCCTCTGCCCTGGCATGTAAAGAAGTTATCAGTCCCTTGCTAAAGTGAATGTACTAGTACTGGTAAACTGATTGGAAGCCTGCTCAGCTGTGCTTTGGTGAATTCAATGTGGCTTATTGCTGTCATCCAGAGGGTAAACTACCACCACCACTTCCACCAAATATTCTCGATAAAAATGGCAGTGTTTAATTATAACATATAAACACTGAGTTCTATGATGTATCATTATTGCTAAAAATGCTTTTTCAGTGCTGATTTTTCACCATTACTCTAAATTAGAGTAATGGTGAAAAACAACACAGTAAAGAGGCAAATAATTCACACAAGCACAGAATTATACTTGACCCTTGCTTTAAAGTAACTGGATTTGTCTACAAAATTTGCAGCTGCAGCCTGTAATCTACCAATATTATTTATGACATGGCCTGGATACTGGTAGCTGGAATAAATAAAGACCATGGCATATACTACTTTGTAAATCTGACATTTGTTGCAAATATAAACTTTTTTTTGTTTTTAACAAATGAAGAAAAACAAATGTACAAATGCCATTTAATTAAATATGAATCTGATATTGTTCTATTAGCTAATTTTTATAACTGTGTGTGTGTGTTGTGTCCCTTTTAAATTTTTTAATGTGACAAAAATGTATTTTTTTTCAACTTATATTTAATATTCCATTACCTTCCAGTTCTGGTGTTTGCAAATAAGATTAACCAGCAGTTGACATATTTCAAACTAAGAGCCACCATCTTTGTAACAAGGTTTTGAACAGCACAATCATCATTCAAGTCTTTAATGTCTTCTAAGACAATTCCTGTGCTTGCATCAACATCAATATCAGAAAAGAACAAATGCTTGGCACCTCCTATCAGGCTATAATCTCTCACTAGCAGAAGAATGTTATGTCTAAAATTTAAAGAGGAGTTGCACAAAGCATTTGTCATTTTCTTTTCTTATAATTAAACTAATATATTTATTGAATGGGATACCTCAGAAAAAAAGTTAAGTACAAGATATCTAAATGTTTGTAATACTTAAAAAAAGAAAAATAATTATACATCAAATGTCATTATATGAACATTTTACTAATTGTAAAATGTAGCCTATATATCTCATACTACATTTTAAAATTAATTAAATATAAAATAAAAACAGAGGATATTTTGTTTCTTTTAAAAGCTTTAATTTGTAAATTTAACAAAAACTCACATCTAAATGACATACAGTCATATTAATGATATTACTGAGTAAGACAAACTTTCTTTTTCCTCACATTTTATATTGTTTTCACAAAGTAACACCAAGTTTATATGGCATAATCCAGGACATGACATGAATTTCAACTGACTGATTATTTGAGTATTTCATCATTCAATAACATTTAAATTTTGTGAACATAACAAACCTTGTTTCCAATAGTTGTAGAAGTTCAATGCTCTGTACGACTTTTTGAGATCCAATTAGACATATCTGTTCTTCAGGATATTCCAAAGTCAAAGTTGTTGTATCTGAACAAGGTAACATTTAGAAGGCTCAATGAGTTAGATAACTAATGGAGCAGTTTTAATATTTACTCAATCCATTTTGAGCTTGTGAAAATAATTAATAATTACCTTAATAGGTACACATCATGTTTAACCACGGTAGGGAATCACGTGACTTTTATGGTTACGCGTACAGACAATATGGCGGCCTAAAACCTCGCTTCACATGTGTTTTTCAGGTAATTCTTTATTATATCTCTTTTACTTACATACCAGACCTGTTGCAGCCTACGCAGAATAAAGAAATGTTGCTGCCTATACCTTATTTTCCACCCCTGTGCTCATAGCTTTTACAAACACTCAAAAATTCAACAGAAATTTTCAATGTAGACAATTCTTGTCTAGAAAATGACCAGTCAACATTTAACATCCGTAATATTTACATTTTCAAATAAAGAAATTCTATGAACATTTTCTCTTTGCTAACTCGACGTAGTTTAATCAAAATCATAAAAATACAAATTTTGCGTGAATGTTACCCAAAAAAGAATTGTCCACATTGAACATTTCTGTTGAATTTTTGAGTGTTTGTAAAAGATATGAGCACAGGGGTAGAAAATAAGGTATAGGCAGCAACAGTTCTTTATTCCGCGTAGGCTGCAACAGGTCTCGTATGTAAGTAAAAGGGATATAATAAAGAATTACCTGAAAAACACATGTAAAGGGAGGTTTTTAGGCCGCCATATTGTCTGTACGCGTAACCGTAAAAGTCACGTGATTCCCTACCGTGTTAACAAGAGCATCGCTAGGTGGGGCATTATATGCCCGAAAGTGCTTTTTTAGTAAGGATGAAGCATTTGTAAGACATGAGAATTAAATAAAGTATTAAATAGCTGCCGGTTTCTTTTTGCCACGCCGGTTTTTGGCAAATTCAACCCCTATTTTTACAAACTTTAAAAAAATAAAAACTATCTTAAAATGTTATATTACTTATAGGTTTAAAAGTTTATATGTTTTTTTTTTATCTTAACTACTTTTTTTAAAAAATGCATTAAAGTTTGTATTTACCATGGTAAAGTGTGTTTTGCCATGGCATTTCGGTATTTTGCAGAAATTTTCCTACATTTGCCATGGCAATAATTTTTAAAAAATCTCGAAACATTCTAACACTTATTCTATGACATGTTCTTGATGCTATTGTTATTTTTGTATTGCAATCTCTATTTTTTTCATTTTGCCATGGCAAATTTTTTTAACCTTCGATGTGACAAGTTAGTTCCATGAAAAGTTGCACAGGGTCCCTAAGTAAACAAGCATTTGATAGTATTGCGGGCAATACAGTAGTCCCCTACCGGTCCCTCAAAAAGTTCTTTAATTGTCATACACTCCTGTGTATTGCCATTTATAATGAATTTGAGGATGAAGTCTGTATTTGAAAATATCAACCACAAAACATAATAAAATAAGTTTGTCTATATCACAGTAATGTGTTAAGTTTCCATGCTTAGTAAGGAAATTATGTTTATACAACCTTGTCATATTATTACGATGTGGGATTTTAAAGTAAATCCTATAAGGAATGAAGAAGTTGGAGTGAAAATACCAGTTTCTCGAAAAAAATCTAAGTTCAAGGGGGACATAATTCTGGAAATAGTCTTGCTAGAGTATTTAACCTTCTCAAAAATGTCGAGTGATAATAAGAAACATATATATGAAGTTTGAAGTAGATACATTAGGAAATAAAGAAGTTATTTAAAAAAGACAACATTTTTTCCCCTAAAAAATCTAAGTTCAAGGGAGGTAATACTGATATTTTTTGTGCTAGAGTTATAAAACCTTGTCACATATGAATGTGGTTGATGACCAGAAACTTATATTTAAAGTTTGAAGTAAACACCTTAAGAAATAAAGAACATATAGTGAAAAAGCTGAAAAATTTAAATCAGAAATCTTGAAATTCAGGCTATTTGTTGCCATAGCAACCAGAATTTTCAACATAGGAAGAAAAGAAAAATATGTGCATAATCTTCAGACTGCCATCTACCCATATTTCAAGTTTCATAAAAATATTTTCAGTACTTTTTGAGTTATCACTGGATCCAGTTTATGTGTTAAATTTGCCATATTTTCAGACTATTTGTTGCCATAGCAACCAGAATTTTCAACATAGGAAGAAAAAAAAAAGACGTGCATAATCTCAATACTGCCATCTATCCATATATCAAGTTTCATAAAAATATTTTCAGTACTTTTTGCGTTATCGCGGGATCCAGTTTTGTGGACGGACAGACTGACAGACAGACAGACGGACAGACAGACAGACGGACGGAGGGTAAACCTAAAGTCCCCTCCGGTTAAACCGGTAGGGGACTAAAAATGTATGTGCACTAAACTAGAAAACAATGGGCGGAACTAAATAAGCTGAATTTGGAACCACCCAACAAAAATAGCCAAATAGAAAGAACTAAAATCCACAAGCACAACAATAATGTCATACTGAACGATCTTTAAGGATCAGAAAAAACCATCCCCGATTGAATGCACGGGGGACTTTTTACAGCCTCCACACAGCACAAACAACGCTGAGGTAGCAATAAAATAGAGAGAAATAAGAATCCCTAGAGAAAGCCCAACACAGCAAAATTGGAAATGTTGCAGGCTCGGTTTGATTGAACCAGTTCATGGACGGTACTGGTAAGTGCAAGTTACCTGACGAGCAAATTTAATATAACAAGATATGTTTGTTAAACATGTATGCCCCCTATCGGCAGCCAATTAGTCATGTGATCAGGTTATTATGCATGACTTCTGACCCAGTGAACAAAAAATTAATAACGGTTATCTAGTATCTACTGGTCAACACTAGTCACAAGGTAATAATTATTGTGACCCCATAGGTTGTGTGCAGCAATTTAATTTATTACAAATCTTACCAAATAATATATGCATAAATTTTATGAATCATGTAGGCCTTATAAATGACAGCCAAGTTGTTATATTACATAAGACCTTCAAATGTGTATACGAAAAGCGTTTTTAGTTTAATATAGAAATATCAACCAAGGCAACTTGAGTTGTTGAGTTATTGGTCAGAAACCGTCTTTAAGTACATGGTCAATATGAGACTGACCCCATGACCCCAAAATCAATAAGGGTCATCTACTGGCCAAGACCAATGCACCTACAAAGTTTGAGGGCCAGCAGCTATGGGCTTGTGAAGTTATTGATTGGAAACCGTTTTCACCTAAAAGGTTAATATGACCTTGACCTTTGACCCCAAAATCAATAGGGGTCATCTAATTGTCAAGTCAAATGCACCTACTAAGTTTGAGGGCCAACAGCTCATGGGTTGTCAAGTTATTGATTGTCAACCATTTTTACCAACAAGATAAATATGACCTTGACCTTTCACCCCTTGACCCCAAAATCAATCCGGGTCATCTACTGATCATGAGCAATCATCATACCAAGTCGTAAGGTCTTAGGCCTAAACATTCTTTAGTTATTGATCAGAAACTATTTTTACCTAAAAGGTGAATGTGACCTAGACCTTTGACCCCATAATCCATAGGGGCATTTGCGGGTCATGAACAATCATCATACCATGATTGAAGTTTCTTGGCCTAAAAGTTCTTAAGTTATTGATCAGTAACCGTTTTTTACCTACAAGGTCAATGTGAGCTTGACCTTTAACCCCTTGACACAAAAATCAATAGGGGTCATCTACTGGTCATGAACAATCATCAAACCATGCTTGAAGTTCCTAGACCTAAGCGTTCTTTAGTTATTGATTGGAAACCGTTTTTACCTACAAGGTCAATGTGACCTTGACCTTTGACCCCTTGACCCCAAAATCAATAGGGTTCATCTGCTGGTCATGAGCAATCATCATATCAAGTTTGAAGTTCCTAGGCCTAAGCGTTCTTTAGTTATTGATCGGAAACCGTTCTTACCTACAAGGTCAATGTGACCTTGACCTTTGACCACTTGACCCCAAAATTAATAGGGGTCATCTACTGGTCATGACCAATCATAATACCAAGTTTGAAGTTCCTAGGCTTAAGCGTTCTTTAGTTATTGATTGGAAAACGTTTTTACTTACAAGGTCAATGTGACCTTGACATTTGACCCCAAAATCAATAGGGGTCATTTACTTGTCATGACCAATAATCATACCAAGTTTGAAGTTCCTAGGCTTAAGTGTCCTTTAGTTATCACTCGGAAACCATTTCGTCCACGGACCGACAGACAAATGCAAAGCAATATACCGCCTCTTCTTTGAATTGGGGGGCATAAATATTTAAGACAAACTGAGAATATATAACAAACAACTCTTGTATCACAAAAAAAATCTTAACACACAATCATAATTACTAATTGCATTCTTTAGATGATTGTTAAGAACCCTTTGATACGTAATTGTAAACAAACAAGAGGGCCATGATGGCCCTAGATCGCTCAACTGACCCATCAAACTCATCCAAAAAATTACCTAGACAAGCATTCTGACCAAGTCTCATGACAGGTGAGACAAAAATGTGACCACTACAGTGTTAACAAGGATTATCCATATTTGAGCAGTGTGACCTAGTTTTTTACCCAGGTGACACATATTCAAACTTGACCTAGAAATCATCAAAACAAACTTTCAGACCAATTTCCAGGATACTTGGATCAAAACAGTAGCAACTAGAGTGTTAACAAGATTTTTCTATTTTTAGCTCCGGTGAACTAGTGTCACATGCGATTTCGAACTCATCCGCGCAATTACCTAGACAAGCATCCTGACCAAGTTTGATGATAATTGAGTCGAAAATGTGACCACTAGAATGTTAACAAGGTTTTTCCATATTTGGGCGGTGTGACCTAGTTTTTCATCCAAGATGACCCATGTTCGAACTTGACTTAGAAATCATCAAAACAAACTTTCAGACCAATTAACAGAATATTTTGATCACAACAGTAGCCACTAGAGTGTTAACAAGATTTTTCTATTTTTAGCTCCTGTGACCTAGTTTTTCATC